GAGAGAGAGAGAGAGAGAGAGAGAGAGAGAGAGAGAGAGAGAGATGCACTGCATTCTCTCCTTTGTGTTGCGGCTCTCAGAGGGCCGGCTTGGTGCTGGACCCAGATGGGGCCTCTCAACCGCTCGCCCCACAGGCAGCCCCGCTCATGGTGGCAGGCGATGCCCACCCCCGTTAACTGCTGAATGCAGTCGCATTCTCAGGAAGGGGCTCGCCACTTACCTGTTCGGCTGCTCGAAGACAGAGCCAGCCAGCGCCTCTCTTTGTGGGAGCTGCCAAACACGCCAGGAGCCACAGCTTCCTGCCACGTGGGGACCTGGTCTGGTGGCCACAGGCTTCCAGGCCAGCCGGGCTTTGGAGCACAAGTCCAAGGAGCGCCTTCGGCCACGGGCTGCTCTAGAAGCAGGTAGCCACATCTGCCCAGTCGCCTGTGACAGAAAACCAATGGGGGGGGGGGCAGAAGGAGACAACCGTGGGCTGCGTCCACTTACAAAGGGGCTCGTGCGAGTTTGGTTTCCTGGTATGTAGGAATGGCTCCCGTCAGAGGGAGCTGAACACCCACCTTGGCCCATTCAGAAAGCTACCCGGCATCATGCCTGCACAGCCTTTTTCTTACCGTACCAGACTTGGCTTCAGGGGAAAGAGGTAACTCTTTTAAAGTACACAGTTGGCCTGAAGAGCAAACATTTTATAAATTAAGTGATTTGTTTTTTATTATTATTATTATTATTTTAAATTGATTTGCTGGAAAGCATTGGCCTCGAGGTGATGGCTAATGACCATTTACAATATATAGTAAAGGAGCTAAGGTACCGCCAAGCTATCATCATTTGTTTTTTTTTTCTTTTTGAAAATGCAAATGAAAAACGAAAAGTAGAACGTGCAAGTGTTTTAAACAGAAAGAGCAAACAGAGGACGGACGGACGGACGGACAAGCATCACTTACGCGATTGTTTTCCACCACTGTACAAAGCGCAAGGCGGGGGCAGCAGCTGGCGGGGGGCTCCCGGCCCTGGCGGGCTTTGCTCAGGTACCTCCTCCCTGGTCATGGGAGCCAAGTAAAATGTGCAACTCCAGATCCTCTGCAACAAAGCTCCCCCCCAACCCCCCCATATCCACACACACTCCACACACACCACAAAATAAAAACGGAGCCCGCATCATCTGTACACGCAGTTCAAGCGGGGGGGAGCCGCAGCCCCTCCCTCCTCTCCTGCTCTACGCTCCTTTCCTCCTCCCTCTTCTTCCCCAGTACTATATTATTATTATTATTATTATTATAATTATTATTATTTTCTTCCACAAAACAAGTCTGTCCAGGGCCTGGCCAGGAGGGAATCTCTCAGTCCACCTGCAATGTTTAAGCAGCAAACCCCTGAAAATTCAGTTTAAAACAAAGGAAAGCACAAAAACTTGTACCCCACAGAACTAGCTGTGCCGTACCATCCGAACGGAAGTAAACATGGACCGGAACATGGGCGTTTGGGGCAGTTTGTCTGTCTTTGGTATTGTTTCAAAAGTTGTTAACGCTGCATAGTCACCCTGAAAGAGAAACTGTGTATAGGTTCCAGCAAGGGACACATCTCAAAAAAAGGGGGTGGGGGAGAAGAGTTTCCTCCCAGGTTAGGGGGAGGTGCCATTGGGTCTGAAGGGGCCCTTCTCAGGTATCTCCAGGGTTGCATTTCCATAAAGGCAAAGAGGGAAAGTCAAGTTCCTTTTCTCCAAGAATCACATGTCTCCTTTGAATTGCTTCCAAGAATCTTTGGATTGCTTCCTGCCCCCCACCCTTCTCCCGCCATCATGAGCATCGCTGCGAAATCCGGAAATGGGCCGTCGTCTTCAGCTTGCCACTGGGGTCGTGCGGAGGGCCCCAGTCCCTCAGTGGCGAGGTTCCCGTTCGGACCCCGCGACCCGAGGCGGGGCGCGCGTTAAGACGGAGGCTTGGCAGCTTCGCTGAGACCGGCCAGCAAGGGGTTTCCGTTCTCCTGCTTTGGCGAGATGCGGCTGGTGGGGACGAGGGTGCTGCTGTAGGGGGACGAGGCCACGCTTCCCGTGGACGATGGGCGGAGCTCGACTGGAGGCAGGTCTCGATCCGTGGGCCGCAGGCCCGGGGGCTGCAGGGGGAAGGCCATGGGGAAGCTGGCCATGTACAGGACACGGCCGACCCGCCTGGCCACCTGTGGACACAAAGAGCCGGGAGGACAGTGAATGGGGCGGCAGCGGAAATGCCCGGGCGAGGCAGGCGGTGCCCCACTCCACGGGGGCGGCCGCCTCTCCGCATCTTCTCCCCCGAACCTGCACGGAGGTTCGCCCTGGGGAAGGGGGGGGGGAAGTAACACGCTCTTGGCCAGGCCGTGGCGCCAGCGAAAGAGCCGGGCTTGGGGCACTTGGCAGGGCTGTGCTACGTTCCAGACCCTGTGCAGAAACCATGCAAATCAGAAGACCTCAACCTGCAGTGGTGGCCAATGAAGCTGATGAGGTGTCAGGTTTCTGGTAAAGCTGCTGTTTTTGAGAACTGCCCTACCTCACAACCATTTCCCCATCCTTGAGGGCTAGAAGCTTGATTAAAACAAAGAGCTCAAGTGGCTAAATTGTGCCTCTCCCAAGGTACGTATGTATACAGAAGTGCCGACTACCCTTTGCACCACAACTTTCCCCACGTTTGCTGGGCCTCCCACCTCTGTGGCGCATTTCCAGGGGGCTGGAGGGGACATCCCTGCCCCAAATACAAGTGACCTGCTAAAACCGAGACGCACCGTGGGGCAGCTGAGCATGGCCGTGCTTGGAGTCCTCCTCGGTGCGTGAGCAGCTGCCCATCATTCCTGGGGGCTTTTCAGCCACCACTCACTTTGGGGGGGGGGGGCATCGGACATGTTACGTGTGAATGTGACAGTGGGGGAACACCTGGGCCTGCGGTTCTGCACTCGCGCGTCAGCAACATGCCTGCCAGCAGTCGCCTCGGATCCCGCGTACGCGGTGCTGGTCCCGGGTGGGAAGAGCCCACGGCGCGAAGAATGCGCTCCGGCAAGGCATGCGCCGGCTGCCTCCACCTCACAGCTCCCTCGCGCACCAGCCACATACATTTCTTATGTTAAAACAATAAGGGCAACTTTATTACTTTTCCTGCAGCCCTTACTGTTTATGAGGGGGCTAATAAAAAGGTTCTCTGGGCAATTGTTCCCTGTGGATCAATTCTGCAGGAAATAAAACTGATTCAAGGAAAAAGGGTGGGGCTTGGGTACGGAGCGAGGAATCCGGGAGCACCAGCTCAGCACTGATGCTGGGGGGGGGGGGGGGGGGGGGAGATGACTTTGTTTGTTCCCCGGCTCAGGCAGACCGTTGCACGCAGGCTGCCTGGTGGAAGAGAGCAGGGGCATCGAGGACGACGCACGGCGAAAAACCACCACCTGCTTCCCAAGTTTTGCTAGCTGAATAATACCCTGGTTGTTTGGGGTTAAACATGAGCCTGTTTTTATAGAAGCCTTAACAGAAAGCAGCTGCGGAGGAGCAAGAGCAGCCCACATCCCCAAAGTCCTTGGGGCCTGTGGAGAAGGGGGGCAGGATGAGAGGCAGCGGCTGGGGGGGCGCCGGGGGCTGCCGCTGAGGGCAGAAATGAAGCGTGTTAGGAAAAACAAGGCTTGCGCTCTGGCCGAGGTGGGGAGGGCAGGCGGGAGACCCAAGGCCAGCAACTTTGGGTTGGCAGAGCTGGAAAGGAGAGGGGCCCCACCGAAAAGCTCTGAACGTCCGTGGCAGGATACACGAAGGGGCCCTGCTTCTCCCTTTCCTGAGGCTTTGAGTTCTGAAGCGGGATTCTGGCCGGGACCGGCTTCCTCGACCTTGTTTTGGTGGCCACCCCTGGAATAGTGAGATCATGCTGGGGTGCTTGCGCCCGCAAAAGCTAGCATGGCCAGTGAGAAAATACGCTTTCCACCAAAAGAAGAGCAAAGGTCTTTTCTCCGGGAAGCTAAATCCAAGGCAGAGGTGGAGCCCTTGCTTCAAAACACCCTTTGCAACCCCAAAAGGTTGGTGCTCGGAGGCAGGCCTTCCATATGCCCGGCACCTGCCACCTCCCTCGCTCAAGATAAAGATGAAAAAGAACCGGAAATAATTTTTAAAAAATCAGGAGGCAGGCAACCTGGTAGGCACCAGCAAAAGATGTCTACAGGTACTAGGCCAAACACCCGGGCAGCAACTGGGTAAGAGATCTGCGTGGGACTTCTGCCTCCATGGCACCCATGTTTGCAAATCCAGAATAAATCGATCCCACCGCCTTAGCAGGATGGAGCCTCTGCCGAATCTTTCCCAAGATGACCACCTGCAGGCAGCCTTGGTGTTTGGGAATGCGAGTTGGTCTGCGTCTAACACGCCCATACCTGCGACCGGATCTTCAGCGCTGGACCCAGTTTCAGCCCCATGTTATTCAGTAAGTGCTCCTCTGTCAACAGTGGCAGCGTCTCGCCATCGATGGCCTGTTCCCGGAAGACCTGAAGAAGGGGAAGCAAAGACGGCGTGTGAAGCGGTGGCCCAGCATCCTCCTGGAAGTGTATTTTTCACACTGGAAGCTGCTGTTGTGCTTTGCCGAAGTGTGGAAAGGGCTGTCTGCACAGAGAGTCTGTTAACAGGCGGGACTGAGGGGTGGGGGAAAGGCAGTCTTTGGAGTGCCTCTTAGGCAGGGCTGCAGCGGGACCAGAGCTGCAAGGGATGCAGGGATGCAGCGGCCACCCGTCCCTGCAGAATTTCCTGCTCCTCTGAGCTCGGCTGCAATGGGGGGGGGGGGGTCCTTTCACAGGGACTTCAGCCTGAAGGGGCACTCAAGGCCCATCCACTCTACAGAAGACTTGCTCCTGGCAGCCGGACCCTGTGGACCCTCCTTGGGGGTCTGGGGCTGTGAAGACATCCTGAAGGCCTATGCTGTCCCCTCCCAGCTTAGAAGCCTTGTGCCCCCTTCCACAGGCGGGTGTTTTGGGATTCTGAACATGCATCAGCTGCCCTGGACAGCCGTGAAGTGCGCATCGGCACCAATGGTAAATCAGATGCTTGTGGGTTGGAACAAGAATGAACGTCCATAGAAAAAAGAACTTTTCGGGTTGGATCCAGGATCTGCCTGCCACGGGAGGAAAGGCTCTGCTCACAGAATCCCACCACCACCAGTAACGCCACTTAGAAACGCGCATGGAATCTCTCAGTAGCGGGCGGGAGGCAAAGCTGCAGACAGAGCACAACTCTGTTTCGGACCCCGTGCTTGACTGCACAGAACCACAACTCGGAGGATATGGCCATCTGTACTTCCGAACCCTGTGCTGTGGCTTAACTGCAGCTTAACTGCAAACAACCCGGAGTTCACAGCCCCACAAGAAATGCTGGGGAAAGCGTGTGGCTAACAGTGTAGGGACCGCACAGAACCACCACCGTTAACTCGGGGTCGCCACTACATGTGCACAAATACACGAACAAGCACCAACACTGCTGTTTGCAAAACGATCACACCTTGGTCTAACAGAAGCCACGGGCAGGGGTGGCTGACTCCGCAGCAGCTGCGGGAGGCGCCACTTCCAAATCCTCCCCATGTTAAAAAAAGCATGCGGAGCTAAGAAAGAAAACCAGCAGACTGCAGCGATGGGAGCGGGCCCCTCCTCAGGCGCTCGTTCCTGGGATGCCCCCCCCCCCACTTCTGCCCCTTCCTGCCGCCAGGCCAGCCTCCTGCGCCCGCTCTGCTCCAGGCCTCGCGGGCGCTGTGCGACGCGGCAGATCACGGAGACGCAGGGCGATGGGCCCGGCGCTCGGGGTGCCGAGGGGGCACGGTCTGACTTGAGCGCAGCGCGGGGCAGGGCGTGCGCTGCGACAAGCTTCGCCGCTGGCCCGGGTCCGAATTCAAAAGCTCTGGGCAGGGTTGCACGTTCTTTGTTTGGTTTGGGTTTTTGCTGGCAGGAGCGGGGGTCAGCTCTCTGCCAGACCTCCCCGGCAGCTGCGGTTTTTGGAGGACAGAAAGCAGGCAGACAGCTCTGCCGTGCCGGGTCTCCCCAGTGGCCTGGCTTTCTCACACAGTGAAAACCTGTTAAATGCAGAGCCCGCTGTGGACGAAAAAAGCTGCTTCTTTTTAACTCATTCTCTGCTGGCTCGCCTGCTCTCATCGCCTTTTGCTGGCACAATCGAAGGTGTTGACAAGGCCTTGTTTACGGGGGGGGGGGGTCTTGTTCTGCACCGGCCTCCTGAGGGGCCTCTCTTTCTGCTCCCTTTGGCACGGAGTGAGACCGTGGGCAGCGAGCAAGGGCGCGTCCACAGCCCTTGCGCGGCTTGGCTAGTGCCCGGCCTGGCCTGGCCGAAGGAGCAGCCTCAGGTGCTGGGTCTAAGGGGGCGCCTGCCCCATCCGTCAGTCCGCCTCAGCTCTCCTCTGCTCGGTGCCTTCTAAACGCGTTGGACTACAACTCCCGCAAACCACAGCCCGTCTGCAGGAGACCCTGAGGGGAGGCTGGTACCCAACCCTAGCCCCAGAGAAAGTGGGGGCCTGGGATGGGGAGGTGTGGCTTTCCCAATCGAATGGGAAAGGGGGGGCCTACCTTTGAGGCCGGGACGGAAGGGAAGGCGGTGGGGAACGATCCCAAGGGCTTCTAGTGAGCGCTTTGGATTGGAAAGCGGTTTTGCAGAGCTGAAGCCTCCCCACACGCCACCCCCGCCTCCCACAGGCTCAGGTTCTTGCCGCTTGTGTGTGTCTCCAGGAAAGCCTGTGGCCGAGCCACTCAATTCGCCATCAAACCAAGGCCACGTGCACAGAAGCGCACTGGCCTCGATGCCTCTGGCATGACCCTTCCCTTCCCCTTCCCCTTCCCCTCTGCGGCACTTGCAGTCCCCATCCAGCTCGGCTTGCTGGGGAGCACATGGCGTGTAGGCATTTTTTTCTATCGAAACCTGCATGGGATTTTGCCCTCGGTTAAGCACCAAACATGCTGACAGTGGTGTAATAGATGGAAGTGCTGAAAGGTAACAGCTGCCAATATTTCAACCCGAAACTCCTTCCCGGTCAGGAATAATCCCTTAAAAACAACGGGAAGACCTGAGCCGCACAGCTCGCTGCGGCTCTGGCGTGCTCGGTCTCTCCCCTTCCCACCCATTTCTCCTCCGCATCTCCCTGCCCAGGCCTCGTGGCCACCTTCTCTTCACGCCGGCCCCAGACAGCTCCGGAATCCGTTCTCCCTGCACTGGTGCACGTGCTCGCTCTCAATGGGGCGTTTATGAGAGCCCGAGGAACAGATGGGGGTTTTGTGTCCCGGCTGGCGGCCTCACACCGCGCCATTTCGGGGGGCCCCCGGCTGGCAGCGACGGATGCGGCGCGCTTGCTCGGCAGGGACTTCCCAGCTCACAAGGCTTTCTCCCTTCGCCCCCGCCCACTCCAAATGGCAGGGAGCAAATCTACTTTGAAGGCTCAGACTCTGAACGGCTCCCCACCAATACTGGACAAACGTGACCAACCCAAGAACCACTGAAGAGATGGGCAAGCAATGTGCGAAGGAGCCGGGGCGGGGGGGGGGGATGGGGGGGACCCTCCATGGGCCAAGCATATGCCTGGATTTGTCTCATTTAAAAAATACAGCAGTGTCTTGACTGGAAATGATCCCACTTACCCAAGTCATACTGGACTCTCCCCCTCTGAGTAGATGTGCACAGGCTTACTGAGTAAACGCATTTTGTAAAAGAGCAAATTCAACAGAGCATCATCCCCCTCCATTCCTGTCCAAGCTCCGTACAGTTTGCCTTGAGCATTGTTAACAGAGAGAGGTCTTAAATCAGGAAAAACAAAGGAAAATTCATAGAATGCTGAAAGCAACCTGCATCCATGTTTGGAGAGAAACAAGGTCCTACAACTCCCAGCATGCACCCAAGAGAAAACGTGAGGGAAGGCAAGACCTGGAACACCCTCAAAAGCCACAAGGTTTGATAAACAAATTCCCAGTGACTGTGTAACTTCTACTGTGTAACCCATTGTGTGTAACTTGTACACTGCAAAATTCAGTTTGCCTGGATGGAGAAACAACAGCTTGGGAGATGCCAGCAGCTCTCTAGACACAGAGCAAACCCCCTGGCATTTCAGGATTTCTGCGTCCAAAGTGGTGGGAAGCAGAGTTGTGGGTTTTGCCCTTCCCCTCCACTTCAACGCAGCCCAGGACTCACCTGAGTGTACTCGCCGCAGCCTGCCAAGCCGCCCACGAAGCTGCAGACGTCCTCCACCGTCCACTTGCTGACGTCCTCCAGCGCGGGGCTCTCTTCACCGTCCAGAAAAAGACCTCCCATCGTGCCTGGATTGGGTTTAGGGAAGGAGAGAGAGAGAAAAAAAAGGGGTAGGAGAAGGTTTTAGAGCTGGGAAATTCAGGGTGGGAGAGGAAACATAAATCAAGGAACTTCCGCACGGACAAACACTGCCGGCGCAAGGCTTTCCTCCAGCCACACATCCATCTTTAATGAACTGTCAATTAAAACACCAGGCAGGGTCAATTTGCAGGCCGCAGCCTCCCAGAGGCTCCTCGCCTGGGCCGGGCGAAGGACAGTCGGTGGGAGGCGGAGGGGGAAGGGCGGGGGGACGGTCCCCCCCGGCACCTTCAGCAGATCGGATGCTTTTCAGCTGCTGTGGAGGGCAGGAGCCCCGCAGGGTCTGCAAAACCCGAGAGCAACCAGGAGGCGCTACGTTTTGTCCGGGAGGGTCTGTTCACACTTCCGGCAACGTGCTCAGAATAGCAATGGCGCTCCGGCAAGCAGCAGCGCCGTCTTTCCCTCCTGGGTTTTCTGACTGCTCTGCTCCTTGAGAGAGAAGCGAGCATTTTCAGCTTAGAAGCGCTCGGCTGATCCGGCCCTCACCAAACGGGTCTGCGCGAGCGGGTCCAGACCTGGGACCTGCAAGAGCCTCTCTTGGCCATGGAGCCCACTGGGTGACTTCAGGGCGGTCACTAGCTGCCAGCCTAACCTACCTCACAGGGCTGTTGTGAGGATAACAGAGAAGAGAGCGAGGTCGGTTGTTCTGCCTGCTTTGCAGGAGGGAGGAAAGAAATAGGCGATTTAAACATGGTGAACACTAGTGTTGCCCTTCATTCTCCCCTCACAGAGATGTTCTCTTAGCAACTCCAGCCATGCTCAGAGGGCTGCAGGGGACTGGGCACGGGGCCTGGGGACCTCTTCCACTCTGCAGCCTTCTTCCATGAACTTCGACAGCCACCTTCCCCAACTTTGGACAGGCAAAGTGCATAGACAACTTCTCCCCCGAGTACCCCCAGGGCAGCTCCCCCTTTTTGTACTCCAGATCCTTCCCTTACAGAGCAGCCTCCCCCAACTGGGTGTCCCTCCCAGCAGGGGTCCGTGGGAGTTTAGGCCCAAGCTCCTAGGTGGGGCTGGTTTAGGGAAAAGCTTTGCCATGGGACGCACGACTGAAGAACCGTTCGCCTGTGGAGGAGCCTGCCCCTTTCTCCAGAAGTCCACCTTTTCTTGGGCTTGCTTCCCAGCTGGAAAGAGGCCAGTCCCTGAGCAGTGACTCATGCAGAGATGCCTCATGCATCCTCCTCTGCAGCCGGCCGGTAATTCTGCTACCTCTTGGAGGAAACGGACTCAGCCACACTGCCCCCTGCCGTCCACTGGAAGCTTCAGGAGCTCCGACGCAGGTGGAGGCACAGGGGACCTGGCACGCCCGGGTCAGGCCACAGCACCGCCAGGAAGGGCTGCAGGACAGTCTGGATCCTCGGAGAGGCGCTGCCAGGCAGCCAAGTCAGGTGGGCACCCGGTGGCTCTGGAGGGGCTTTGTCTTAGCCAACGTCCCTCTGCAAGGGCCACAAGCTGCCCATCCTGGCTGTGGATAACGCCTCTCTAGATGGATCGAGGGCCCAACTCCCCCTCCCATTTTATTTATTCTGATTTTTATTGTATTTATTATTGCCAATTCTTCCTCTTAATCATCATCATCATGGTGTTATGAAATGTTTTATTACTGTTGTTGGATTTTATGCCCATAAGCTGTCCTGAGACACTCCTGTAAAGGATGGGTTAGAAATGTTTTAATAAATTATTTAAAAAAATAGACTTGGTCAGGGCCGGGACTTGCAGGCTCTCTGACATGAGGCCCTTCCTTGCTCGTGCGCGGTAAGCAGGCCACCCTCTGGCAGCACGTGGCCTGGGAACTACCAGCCCACAGTCTCAGACAGTTACCCGCTTTCTACTTCTCCGAAGATGCCCCACATACCATGGCCGTCCCAGTGGCTACTGCAGAGGAGGGGGGTGCTTCTGAGGACTCCCCCCAAAGGCTTGTTTCTCAGAGGCTAGCCAGGCAAAGGCTGCGGACATTGACACTTGAGACGAGAGGGAGGCCTGCTTCGTGGTCTCTGCCTCGACAGAGGCCGCAAATATTTACTGGGAACCTTCTGCCAACCTCCCGCAGGCCTCCCTTCTCACCACCCCACTTTTAGAGGAAAAAAATGGGGAGCAGTCTTAGATTGCTGCAAATCGGGGCAGAAAGAGGCGGGGGGGGTTAGGGGTAACAAGATGGGAGAGCTGCTATGGCCAGAGGCTGGTATGGGGAGGGCAACACGGGGGCTTGCGGGGAGCAGAAGAGCCTGTGCAGGGCGAAGGCAGAGGGGCTGACGGCGCTGCAGCCCAGGGCGAGAGAGGCAGCCTGAACAGAACGGCTGCATCCAACTGACCCCAAGGACCCGCCGTGGGAAGGAGCAGATCAGCCGCTACCGGACCAGCCAAGCATGCAAGCGGCTGCCTTGCGGAGTTTGTCGGCAAACGGACAGCATGTGCGAACTGAGAAATCCGGCCTGACCCCTAGCCCTAATCGCGGAGACGGGAGGACTGTCACCTCCGTCGAATCGCATCGCGCTGATCCGAGGGACCGGCCTTGGGCTGCGCTGCTTCGGCAGCCGGGCCCCGGAACGGTTTCTGCCAGCGGCGGCGGGGGGGGGGGGGGGGGTTCTCCGCCACCAGCCCGGCTGGATGAACGACTGCGACTGGATAAATAAGAGGAAGTGGGACTGAACTCAAGTATTCCGGGCACAGCCGAGGCTCCGGCGAGACGCCTCCATCTGCAGCCGGCGCGAACATCTCCTCCGAGGGGGTCTGGCAGTAACAGACAACTGATCTCAAATTATGCACTTCCTCCTCCTTCCCGAGGCGGGCCAAGGATAGCAGCTCGGCAGAGCTGCCGGGAACGGAGCCCCCGCCACTCGGCTGGCCAACCCGAGCCTCGGGTATTTGGCCCAAGACCAGCATAACAGCTCTCCAGATCTGCAGAGCGGGACGGCGTTCTAATCCCGCGGTTCTGTGGGGCCAGGCAAAGGCCGGGGGCCTCCCGGCCTCGAAAGACGCTCTGCGCTGGGCTTCTCTACCGACGCTCCAGGCGATCTGTTCAGCCTGGGCCTTGCACACGAGCACATCGCTCCTGGCTTGCTCACGCCACAGAAGCGCAGTGCACCTTCCCACGGCTGAGCCAGGGCCACTGCCCTCAGTTCGACCCACCAGGAAAGCACTCTACCCCTGGGCGGGGCATGCTCCCCATCTCCCACCACAGGCCCTCTCCGATCATGCCCACATGATCTGGCGCTTCCCAACTTCGTGCTCTCCAGTTGTTTCAGACTACAACTCCCAGAAAACCTGGCCATTGGTCAGGCTCTCCCGGCTGATGGGAGTTACAGCTGAGAAACGGCAGTCCGGTGATGTCGCCCACCTGACCTGGCAGTCTCTCTGTCCCCTAGTCAGCTGAGCATCACCGAGTGTCCTTCCTCCGCCTTCCTGCCCTCCTGGAAAAGGGCCACTGCCTGCCTGCAAAGCTGGAACGGAGATGCCAAAGGCACCCTGGCTGCCGGCGTTCCCCGCCTGGATACCACCCGCTGAGCTGCGGCTTGGGCCTCGCGGGAGGCTCACGCCCCGCAGAGGAACTGGTCTGCAACGTTTGGAGCAGACCTTCCACGGCAAGAACAAAACGCAAGAGCCCACGCCCAGGGACAGATTCCGGTGAGCGCTGCCCATCCACTAGCCTGGCCAAGTCGATGGACCCTCAAATCCAGGAACCGGGGGGGGGGGGGCGGGACGATGGCCCCAGCAAAAGGCAACGAGGCAAGCCCAGCGTGGGAAGCAGGGAAGGGTGGTGGGTGCTGCCCAAGCAAGGTGGGCCGTGCAGAGGTGCCTCTGGCTGAGGCTCCGGGGCAGCAGGAGGCTGAATTCTGCGGATGTTCCTCCACTCCAGAACGCTGGCGCTCAGTCAGTCACTGCGGTCCTCCTCCCCACCGCGAGGTGGTGAAAACAGCGCTGGCCTCGTCTCCCGAGAGCTCAGGCTGGCACCTGGGGAGCGGTCTGTGTCTCCATGGCGGAAAGCCCTGCTCTGTGGGCCCAGGGCCCCCAGTTCAGTCTCCAGTTAGGCACTGGTGGGGGGCGATCCAGGCTTTGCTGCCCGAAACCCTGGCTACATCCTGCCAGTCGGAGCAACTCCTGATACAGACAGACAGAACCTGAAATGGAGCAAAACTACTTCCTTGCTTTCTCAGCGGAGCCGACTGGCAAGGAAGCCCTGTCCGCCTTGGATGATGGAGGAAGCCATCCAAATGCTCTCCCACTCAGTTACCACGAAGAAAAGGGTTTTTTTAAAAATACACCCAATGTGCCCCCCCCGCCCCTTTTTGGAATGCACGATCTGAGCTGGCCTGTAAGAACCCGCAAGTATTTTCCACACGGCCACACAAATACAGCCCCTGCCAAAATATTTATCTTCAGAAAGTGCCTCCTCCCTTCCTTTCTCCATCACCAGGAAAACAAACATACATGGGTGCGCACACACACACACACATGCATGCACAAACACACTCCGAGGCTGAACACGTTTCTGGGCTGAAGTGGGAAATTCACTGGCAAATCCCGGCAGGGGAAGGAGATGCACCGGGCTCGAGTTTTGCCAAAGCGAACTGTGACAGCTGAAGCCGTCAAGGGCCCCAGGCGCTGCCGCCGGGCTCAGCAGGCAGGCCCCTTCCCGGGGGGGGGGGGGGGGCTGCAGGGCCAGCCTCCCCTCTTCCTGCGCTCCTGCCAGGGCAGGCAGGTTGCTGCCCTGAAGGCCCAGGAACAAGCGGCTCAGTCTTAGCGAGCCGGCATCCCAACCCACGCAGAGCTGGCTCCTGGCTTCTGTGTGCGTGTGGGGGGGGGAGCGTGGGCCCCTCCTTGCTACCATCCCTGCTGGCTGTGGGCTTGGCTCCCGCTTTGGGCGAGACGTGCAGGGGCCTCAGTCTAATTTGGGCTGGGGGCGGTGCTTGAAGCCTCTCGCCCGCCCGCCCGAGGGTGGGATTCAGTTTCAGAGAAGCACGGGGGGGGGGCAGCATTCCAGTGCTGGGTGCAGCCGCTGGCAAAAGAGGGAGGGCAGAAATGCCACGGCGTGCCAGCGCATGTCAGCGTCAAGCACTTGCTGGAAGAAAGGGGGTCCTGGGGAACACTCTCCTCCTCCTACGCATGGGAAAACGGCAGCACACAGGCCCAGACACACCACCGGGGCTGGGGCCGGGGGGGAGGAGGGCATGGTGTGCAGGGGGGGCGTGCAGCCCCAGCTCGTTCAGCCAGGCCCTACAATGTGCTGACATAGGTCACCCCACCCATACGCAAAGGGCACTGGTGCTTCTCTGGCATCCGGAGCTTCCGGGAGGCATCTTGCAATGGGGGGGGGGGGGGGGGGTTGATGGCCTGCATGAACTGCCTGCTGCCAGGTGAGCCTGGAGCGACAAGCGGCTGCCTCACATGGCCACCTGGGGTTGGATCCAGATTCATGCGGGACGGACTGTGCTGGTGGAAAGAGACTTCCTTGCCTCCTCCGCCCCACAGCGGCCCCTCCAGCCCCCGAAAAGGCTTCTGACAGATGGATCAGAGACACTGCTGCATAGACCACGCTGTGACACGGACGGATTCCCCCACTCCCCCAATCGGCAGAGGGACTTCCTGAGAATCGGGCCCTTAGTCTCCCGGAAGGCCTCTCCTTGTGCACAAGGCAGCTCCTGGCGGTGTGGCCTGGCTGCCGGGACAGGAAGGCAACCTCAGGAGGTAGCCATGGACCGCTAGCCAGGAGAAGATGGCAACATGAGAGAGAGGAGGAGAGGGAGAGCGCGGAGACCGCACGAGGCAGCACGGACGCCAGGGCATCTCTGCACCGTGAACAGGTAGACGAGCCGCTCTCGGCCCCACGGTCTGCAAAGTGTTCCGTGAAGAGGGCAATGGGTGTTCAGGCAGGGAGGTCTCCAGCAGACGGAGCCCCACCGCTGGCAGCAACAGCACCACTGGACTCTGGCTTTTGGAGACGCTTGCACTGCGGTGCCTCCCTCCCTCAGGGACCACCATCTTGGCCTCGTTGCCAGCGGCTGCCCGTCTCTCGCCCGCCTTCCCAGCACTGCTATCGCTGGCTCGCTTGATGAGCGGGGAGAGTCAGCGACACGTCCACCATGGGGCCTCCCCTGCTCCCCCGTCGTGCCCACGCCACTGCTGCCTAGGCCACAGCGAGACTGGGGCAAACGCGCCACTTGCAATGGGGAGGGGGGGCTCCTAGGCCGGGGGGCTTGCCAGGGGGCTCCTCCTGAGATGCAGACTCTTAGCAGGGGCCCAAACATGCTGGCCAAGGGAGCCAGCCTGGCATTCGCCTCGCACCCCCATGCCCCTGGTGGAGGGAGCCCAACGATGGTTTCTCGCCTGGGGCCATCCTCAAATCCTACTGAAATCCTGGCACCTGTCCTCTTAAACTACAATTGCCAGGATTCTTTTGGGGAGGGGAAAACTATGCCTGATATAAAACTCTTCTGCTCGAGCTGGGGCTGTGTGTGGAAAAGCATCACGCGTTGCGTTAAGCTGCCGACGAGGTCCAACCCCCCCCCCCCCCCCCCGCCCCTTTCTTCTTGCTCCAGCCATCTTGGGTCAAGAGGCAAAAGGGAGGGCAGAGAGAGTGGCTTGCTCCTGTGTGTGGGCCTTGCTGCAGCCCCACAGAGAGGAGGTGATGGGGTGTTAATCCATCTGGCTATTTCTCGCTCCTCCTCCTCCTCCGCCCTGCTGAGGGCTGGGGGTCATGCAGGGGCCCTGGGAGGCTGCGCTTAATTGCTCTCCAGACTGCAGGATCAATATGGAGATTTCAGCCTCTCACTGGCTCCATCCTTCACCTTTTCCGGAGAATGCCGCCAAGGGGGGAGGAGGCCGCAGTCAAAACCCCGACGAGACGAGGTCAGGTGGCAGCGCCCGGGTTTTCCTAAAGCGTCGTGGGGGACTGACCCAGCAACAGGCTGCAGTGCCGGTCATTTTCTGCCACTGGGGAGAGAGAACGGCCCTCTGCCTCCCAGGGGCCAATAGCGCCTGCCTTCCTCCCCGCAGCGGTTTCCTCCTTGGAAAGGGAAGTGGCCGGCCTTTTCCTGGGTCTCCTGGATCAGCTGCAGGTGTCGCACCTCCCCTTTCGCCTTGCCATCCTCCATCCTCCATCCGCCCTCTCAGCCTTCCGGCCCTGCTCAGGCGTGTCCCGTCCAGGGCCCTGGGAAGCTCAGAGACACGCACTGGTAGCAACATCATGGGACGCCCCTCACGGGTGAACAAGCCGCTGTCTGGGGCACCCTCAGACCATTTCGTCTCCTCAAGAGTCACCCTCTTCTAATTAGACCCGGTCCACATGTTCTGCAACTGGCATGAAGAACCCCCAAGCGTGTGAACAAGCTGAAAAGGGCATCCCACTAAAGACAATCTTGTTGCTTGAAAAGGAAAAGGGAAGGACAGTGGGGAGGGGCGGCTGCAGGCTCTGCGGCTTTTCACAGCCACGTCCTTCTCTGCCCGAGGGCCAGGACCTCGGCACGTGCCCGAGACGAGCGACACGGGCCCAAAACGTAAATCGCACCTTCGGGAAAAGGCCTCTTGCCTCGCAGCCGGAGTGGCATTCGCAAGGCTCCGTCTGGACTGCTGCTCCCCAGACAAGCCCCCCCCGCACGCAGCCGGGGGCTGGGGCACGCGGGCCATGCCCACCTGGGTGCCAAGCCCGCCCACGCGCTTCTGAAGCCCGGCGTTTCCCTTTTAAACCGGCGTGGCTCCAGCCGAGCAGCCTCATCTGCCGAGGGGGGAGGACATCCATCACGCCCGACCATCTGTCTGTCAGAGAGAAATTGCTCCTTTCCTTCACGCTGAGTGGCAGGCCCAGGCGGCGAGCGGCGCCAGCGGGTGCCTTGACCCGACCCGCTCCCTTCCGAAGGCAGGGCCTGCCCTCCGTCTCCGCTCCCCCACAAAGGAGGCCCACGGGCGCTGGCCCTGTCAGGCGAGCCATGCATCTGTGCCGAGCATTTTCTGGGGGGGGGGGGGAGTCAAAACATCCCCCTCCCCACACAGTCTGAAATGCCACGCAGCAACCCGACCTTGCACGAGGCTGCTGCCCAAAGCGCTCTAGGTGGCTCCCGGCCAGGAAACCCTAAAATATAACATTGGGCAGGGTGTAGATGCTTGTGAGCTTCCACGGTGCGGTGGCTCTCCTGCCGCTTTCAGGGGGTCTGAGCCACGGCAGGGTCCTCTCCAGCGTCCCCCGCCAAGGGGACTCAAAGCAGCGCACGGATTATCACTGTGACAGACAGGAGGGGCACGGGTGCAAGCACGAGGGTGCCCTCCCAGCACTCATATTAAGGGCAACTCCCTGATCTCTTCCCTTACACGGGCCCGGAAAAGAGTTCCAAGCCCCGTGGCCTTTCCCTGCGCCAGAGGAGTTAATCCAGATTCTCAGGCACGTGGGGATGCTTTCCCTTGCCTGCGACACCTGTGCAGGTATTTCTCCACATGGCTCTCACTCCCCCTGGTCCCCCTTCCTTCCTCCCCTGCCCACCCAGTCCTCCGCCCCCATTCATCTCTTACTCTTGAACTAAGAGCATTTTGAGGGCTACTGCTCCACATTAGACCCAAGTGCTGCTATCCAACCCCTCTGATCGGGGAGGGACATCTTTGGACGGACCAAATGAGTAAAGAGGTGGGCAACCTCCCAACAATTAAGAACCGCTTCATGAACAACCGCGGAAGCACGGCAGCTGCCTGCCCCGCTCCTTCCCGCACGAGCATGTTCTCTCACGGAAACCAGAACCACGCGGGCACCAGCGGAAATTGGAGCTGAAGCATCCTACTGGATTGTCGGCCGGCCAAGAGAGAACGTGACGGCAGGCTGAGAGGCACCTGTGTGACTGGCCCCGTGGCACGGCTCCAGACACCCGAAGGGCTGCCAGGCAGCACACGGAGACCACCGCTCGGTGGCATGGGGAAGGGCTCAGGTGCCATCCCTGGCACCTCCCGGCTGTTCTGGGAAAAGATCTGTCTGGAGGCCCTGGGCCCCTCAGCTGCCAACCAGGGCCGACAGTACTGAGCTGGATGGACCGAAGGGCTGATTCTGCATGAGGCGTTGCTCACGCCTCAGCAAGGAGGCCTGGGACAACCTTCTGGGGGATGCTCTGAACAAAAGAAGGCGGGAGATGCTACCCGGCCACAAGGAGGAAGGAAGCAGAAGGGAAGCTCTGTGGGACACCCCTGAGACTGTCTGGAATGCAGAACACGCACTCAGAGCGGCGAGCCACCTGCTTCGGGGAGCCCTCCTTCTGCAGAGCTCTTCTCCAAAGCAGCTGAAAAGGAGGCCCATCCCCAGCGAGCAGGGGGCCTTACAGACGTGGTGGGACTCCAACTCCCACCATCCCTCACCTTTGACTAAGCTGTCCAGGAGGGTCAAACATGGCTCATTTTAGGTTCTGAAATATAACTGAAGAAAGAGCTGGCATCCAAAAGGAGACCTGGGAGATTGGGGAACCTGAGGCGGAAGATCGCCTCCCCACTTCACCCAGGTAAAAACCGCATCAATACATTAAATGAATTAGAAAATCAGGCACCATTCCATGATGCTTGGAATATGCACCCTGAGGTGGTCACCTCAGCACTCTGCCTCAAGGTAGGGCTGAAATCGGCCTCTTGAGAGGGTCTGGAGACGTTCTGATGAACAGAGCCCAAGACTCCAGGAGTTCAGAGAGACCCTTTCCTCTTCGGACCTTCTACAACTACAAGCACCTTTCCAACACAGCCCCAGAGCTGGTATTTATCACGAGGTTCTTGCACTTAAGAAAGTGCAGCTCTCCTTCCCCATCCCAAATCCAAACTCAGCACATGTAAGGGCACATCCCTTATTCATCTTTTCGCCACGCAGGGGCGGCTGGGATCCTCGGGCAAGAAGAATACAGGAGACAGGGCACCCACCTGCGTGGAAGTAGGGGCTCATGGTGTACGGGAACCCAAACGGCAGCGGCTGAGGCGGCGGCAGGGAGGCGGGAGGGAGGTATTTGGCCTCGGGCTTGCTGATGGCGGGGCCGAGGAGGTGGCTGGGGGACTCGGCGCTGGTGGAGCTACAGGGGGCATTCTGGCCGGCGGGCAGCTCGCCCAGCTCTTTGGCACCATCGCAGGCTTTTGCGGTCTCCTTGCCCTCCTTCGGCTCAGTGGCCGCTCCGCCACTCTCGGCCTTCAGGTTGTCCAGCTTCTCGTCGCTCACGTCGGCGTCGCTCTCCGAGTCCTTCATCTCCTCGTCGTTGCCGTCAGGAGGACGACTTTCGGAGAGCTCTTTGGATTCGCTCTGGCCCGGGGCCTCGGCCCGGTGGTGTGCCGACTTCCGGCTGCCCCGTCGACTCCCCTGCTCCTTGGGTGGGGTGGTGGAGGCACTGGGGGCCCCGTGGTGGTTGAGTGACAACAGAGGGGTGTTGTTGTGACGCAACACCAACATGGCGTTCCGCCGTGAGAGCTCGTCCCGCAGAGGGTGTCCCTCGGGGATGTCATGGACGCTGCGCAGGGCCGGGTGGTCCGGCGGCAGTCCCGGGTGCAAGTTGATTGGGTCGCCAGCCAGCAGCCTTTGCCGATGGAGGTTCTCCATTTCCTTCTGGCGGATGATCTCGGCTGACATCTCGAGCCTAAACAGAGGAAGGGCGCGATGGTGGGTCTGGGAGGAACGGAGGGAGAACCTGCCGCAGACGGGCCACATTCTTTCCTGGATTTCGTGGCCCATCTGTACAATGGGATGCCGAGTCTGCCTCATGGGGGAGACACCACTCACAGCACCCCTGCCTCCGACTCATGCTCAAGTGGCCGGAAGAGCATTCCTGCCTCGCAGGAGGAAAAGCCTGACGACTTGGGGAGGGGTGTGGAATGAGGATACAGACTCAAAATGCAACATGAAAGGAGCAGCTGAAGCATGGCAGAGTCCTGATTTTTTTTTTTTTTTACGATGCTGCTGCTGCTGCTGACCCCTGGGCCTTCCCCACAACCTCTTCCCTTCCCCTTCACTCCACAGGAACCCCCCAAATGTCCTTCCTCCCCACTCCTCCTCCATCGCCTGCCTCCTCCCCTCCTCAGTTCCAGTGCAGGAAGGAGGGCAGGCCGGGCCAAGCACATCGCAATGACTTTCAAATGCCCACCTCCCAGGCAGGGTTCCCACTCTCCCGTCTCGTCTCCCCTTCAGGGAGAAAAGCTGTCCGGGAGATAATAATGGTTCTGGCATGGCCTTCCTCACTCTGACTCAGTGAAGCATACCAGCTAATCTCTCCTCCTCAACGGATAGGCAGGGAAGATGGCAGGGCCGAGCCCCCGGCAATTCTAGCTAGAGGCCCTGTTAGGAGAGGGAGAAGACCCCCGCTCTCGCAGCAATCAACTGCTTCTCACCTGGCGAGGTTCTGTTTTCTCAGCATCTCCTGCTGCCGTGCAAATATCTCTGCCTGGGCCGGCTGCAGGAACCCGTATCCTGCGAAGGAAGGAAAACGGCTGGAGGTTAACAGAAGCGAGGCTACTCGGAAGAGAAAGTCAGTCCTGCAGCCCAGCCAGAGCCTATGCCCGGCTCTTCGGCCAAGTCTGTTCACAGTGAAGGTGGCGAGAGGCCGGCATGCGGAACCTTTTCTGTTTGAAGCAGGGGAGGGGAACCCGCAGTCACTGCCTGAGACGCAGCCCGCGGCGCCTCCCCACCTGGCACGCTGGCACCTGGACAGCCCCCTTTCCTCACGGTTTTACCAGTGATCAGCGGGGGGGGGGGAATCTAAACCTCACCTCCCTGTCCTCTCTTTCCCCCACCCTGTCTTTGTGCTGCTCACTTGGCTAGCATCAAGGGACGCCTCCAAGCAGTGGGGAACAGGCAGCGCTAGTGATTTAAGCCTCCCAGCCACATCAGCTGCCATGCGGCCCAGGCGGTTGCGCAAACACCTAAGCAAGGCAGAGAAGGGAGGCGTGCATGCACCGATGAATGGGGTGACCACAGATGGGTAAGTGTGCATGAGGGAGGGAGGGAGGGAGAGGCGTGCAAGTGTGAAGCAGGGAAGAGAGGTGTGGGTCAGAGAGCGGGAAGGGCTCCAGCCTCGCCATGGCCCATATTCTGCTCCCCACCACTTTCCCTGGAGGGAATCTAGCCTGGGGGGGGGGGCAGCGTGAGGCATGTGCTGCATGCCCTGCCATGACTTTGGGTGTGAAATTGGAATGGTGGCACAAGTAGGGCAGGACTCTGCAGCAGGATCCCACCCCCAGGAGGGAGCGGGAGGGTCCCCCACAAACCCAGCAGGGAGGCCTCCCACACCCGGAAGCCAGGGAAGGGATGCACGCCAGCCACCCACCCACCCCTACCCGAGGAAATGGCTCAGTCGAAAGCCCTGCCGAGGAGGGTTCCCCCGCGGCAGCTGCCCCTGTGCAGCCCTATGGGATCGCCTTCCACTTACCTGGAGTCTGGCACAGCGCCGAAGGCACCCCCAAAAACGGGGGCCTCAAATGCGGGCCTAATGCAATGTGAGGAGCATTCTGGGGCGACAGCAGAGGGGGTGGGTGGGTCATCTCCCTGAAGAGAGAGAGAGAGAGACGGTTAAACACACTACTAAGGGATGTGGAGAAGAACGGCTGGTCAGAGAAGCTACCCAAGGGCGGAAAGGCAAGAAGGAAGCCCTGTTCCTCGCTCGACGGTGTGCCGCTCGAGGTTTTCCCGGCCCTGCCAGCCCGTGCAACACGGTTCGCTACGAAGGCATGAAACTCGGAGACTTGAGCAAGGAGAACTGTTCCATAAAAGGGGGATGGGGACAAGCTTGCCTGCGGGGGATCGAAGTGCAGTTCAGTTCATTTCAATTACCCTCTGGGTAAAACGCCTGCCAGGCGAAGCATGCTGCCTCAGTTTCCACTGAGTCAGTTTGGATTTGGAAGCGGCCCTTTCTTAGGCTAGCCAGCGAGGGAAGACGGACGCACCTCTGCACCGCTCCTGGCCGTGGTGTCAAGACAAGAGCCACCCCCTCCATCACCATGTCTGGATGCCATTTATCCATCATCTGCCTTGTGCAAGAGCTCAAGGCAGCTTTGTGTGGGGCTTGCAGGGGGTCTCGCGCCCAGGCAGTTTCCCCTATCAGCTCCACTGCTGGCCTTTGGCACACCCTGGAGAGCCAGCTGGGTAACGACTCGAGGACGTTGGGTGGCGAGGGCCACCAGCCGGTCGGCTTCAAAAGGGGACTCAACAGACTCCCAGAGAAGGCTATCGGTGGCTGGCTGTTGGTTTGACGGTTAAAGGCCACCTGCCATACTGGTGGGCACGATGCCCACGTAGACCTGCTAGTGAAGAACAGGGGTGAGAAGGGACTGTTGCCCTCCTGTCCTGCGCGTGGGCTTCCCCTGGCCACTGGGTGGCGGAAGGCCAGTCGAGATGGACCTTTGGTCCGATGCTGCACAGCTCAAGGCCACCCTGACCCAGTCTGTGCCGACATACTGAGAGAAGATGTGGCGCTTGCGGATTTCCTAAGAGGCGCAGACGCCACCCCTGTAGCCGGGAATACGACCCCCCCCTCCCCACACTGCTCAAATGGCGACTTCCTGGGAACACAGGATGGACAGAAATTTCCATCTCACAAGGCCATTAAAATCTCTCTCTCTCTCTCTCCAGCCAACATACACACAGAAATGGGAGCAAAATAAAAAGCAAAGGCGCAGAATTGTCTTTCTAATGAGGCCCTGCAAACGCGCCATGTGTGTGGACAGAGGAAAAAATAATTGAGTGGATTAAAATTCCCCCCTCAGAAGGCCCAGTTCCCCAGGCCCCTCGTTCTCTTCCCATCTGTCCTTCGCCCCAACTTGCCGTCTGTCTTTCCCCGCCTGCCTCCCCTGCCCCCACAATCACCCAGCTCCCAGCTTTTCTCCCCCACCCTCCCAAGCTCTCCTCTAAACTAATTGCGCAGCTCCCGGTGTCTGGAGGAGAGCCACGGATCGATCCGTCGCTGTTGAAATGTTAATGCTAATCGTATAACCGCTCCGCCAGCGCCTTTCACTTCAGTGGCAGCGCCAATTAATCTCAGGTAACGCAGCGCCATGACCTTCGGGGCCCGGTGCCGGGGCAGCAGCCAAGCGATGCTTATGTAATTACACCGTGAAGTGTGTAATCACCTGCCCTAATCCCCGAGGCCTCACAATTAGCCGAGGCCTCGGTCGCCGGGCTGCCAAGTGCGCTGCCGACTCCGGACAGCCGAGCGGATGAATAACGGACAATTAAAGCGGCATGACGGGGGCCGGGAGGTGTCCGCTCGATCGTAATTAGCTGTAATCATGGGGAGACGAGCCTGGCAGACGTGCCACTCATTTTATAAGAAGCAATTTAGGAAAATCAAGTGGCGTTTAACTGTTTTGTGGCCAAGCGGGCATGGTGCCCCCTTGCTGACCTCTCATAAACGTGGAGGGGGGTCAAGGGGAGTGGGAAATGCCAGTTCGCAGCAATAAGGCTATCTAGAGTCATCTGCCCAGTGGCAGCTCTGGGTCTGGAGGGCTTCGGGGGAGGCATCCTCCCCTCTTGCTAGGACCCCACCTCAGGTCGCCACTGTCTCCTGCTCCTCACCCCCTGCCCCGAATTTCTCCCGTCTGCTTGGCAGGCAGAGAGGCAGGGCAAGCTAGCCGGGCATCTCCTGCTCGTCACCACAGTTCTCGGGACCAGAGGGAGGGGCAGGTGAAGAAGCAGGTTGCCCTGGGGAAGAAGAGAGGCAACTCCAAGGGGCTTTTGTCAGCAGGCCCCTGCCAGATGTGCCTGACCACCCCTACTCCTGGCATCGGCCTTCTGCTCACTCCGGCTCCGCCTGATCCCAACTTTCTCCGTTCTTCCTGGCCTAGGGGGCCTTCTGCCCAGAACTATCTTTCCCTCTCATTCAGCCCATCTCCTTTGAGATTCCAGTACCCTAACCCTAACCCTGCCCCCCTTTTTTGAGAGGGTCTTTTCAAAATGGTCTTTTCAAAAATAGCATTTCGGAAGAATTAAAAAGAACATAAACTTGTTGCGGGGCAAGACTGAAGTCGGTTCGGCAAGGCATGGAAGCCGGATCAAGGGACACGGAAGAAGCTGCAGCATACGTCAAGAGCTGCGTGGATGCCTTGAGAGCAGGGGGGAAGCAGCTTGCACAGGTTTCAGCTTCCAGGGAGCAGCAGCGTTCGTTAAAAGGATTAAAAAAAATGAACACATTTCTAGCTCTTGGGCTGGAGAAGCCAGAAGACAGTACGGGGCAACTCCCTGCTGAAATCGCTGGTCAAATAGGGTTTCCAGCCGCTGGAGGTAAGGCACCAGTGCCTTGCCTGGCTTCTCAACCCTGTTAATTGCCAAAGCCAGTATAAATTATGCAAAGCAGCAAGCACTGCAGAATAAATCATGCAAAGGAAGAGCAATTATGCAAATCTGCACCATTTGCATAATTTATGCAGGGATGCAGAACACAGCCTTTTCTAGGTGCAGAATTTAAATATTTGCTCCCCTCCCCTCCCCTCCCCTCGTCCAAGGCTTTGGCCGCTCTGCTCTGAACGTGGAGCCCTGGAGAGCGTCTCATCCACGCCCGAAGCTGTGCTTGGCACAGGGTGCAGCAACTCGGCCGCCGTCCACTTAACTCCACCACCTCCACTGCCGGAGAGCGATCCCGGCTTGGCCGCTTCCTCCCGTTGGGGGCTGGCTGGCTGGCTGGGAAGCGGGTGGGAAGGAATTCCTTCCGCCTGCTCTGAATTCCATTCCAGAGAAGCTCTCGGAGCATGTGCTGGTGGTGGGCGGAGCTGAGGGGAAAGGGGGCGGGGCCAGAAATGCCAGCACCTAACCTGAAGGGGGGCATTTCAACTTCTTAGAATGGGCATGGGGCATGGGCAAAAGCCAGGGCACTGCTAATTAGGGGGTGGAGCCGGGAGCGGGAGGCACGGCCTGGGAAAAGCCTGGCGGGCCAGACTTGGAGCCCAGCAGACCTGGATTCAGCCTCCTGTTTTCCATCCCTGCCCTGATGCTTAGTTAAAACCGCCTTCCTTGTCATTCCCATGGACTGCCTGTAGTCCTGTTCTCTGGGGCAAGAGAGAACAACTCCTGCTCTACCTGTATGAATTAATTAATTCAGAGCAAACAGGGAGGCTTGTGTGTGCGCACATCCAAGGACAATTAACAGATTAACATCCCAGAAAAGAAATCTGTGTGTGGAAGAAGTGCTTGGGTGTATTTGTGTATACATATGGATGTGGTGTGGCTTGCACAGACACGCACGAACACACAAATACCGCCCCCCCCCACATACCCAGGGGTTTGCGTGCAAGGATATTAGGGGATTTTAACTGCATGTTGCTAAATTTGATATGTCCTTTAAGAGGAGACAAATGGTTCACAAGGCTTTAAAAGTATCGACTTTTCTTTAACAATAAGCGCTAATGGCCTTCAAATAATCAATACTTTAAGTCATTATGGGGTTACACATTACATTGTTAAAACCGTGCATTGCATTTTTAACCCCATCTCCAGTCGCAAACATCCAGGAGACTTCCGAGGTGCAAGGTGGGATGGGGGAGGAAGGCTGGACACCCGGGGCGGAGGGGGAGTTGAATCCAAGGGGGTGCTGACACCACAGACCCCAACACAATCCCAAAGGTCTACAATATATTCTACAACAGGGGCACTGAACCTCACCTCCGTGGGCCGACAACATCCTTCCCCTGGCCCACCCTCATTTCTCAAACCGGCCATGAGAATGTCAAGGTATTTCACGAGGTATTTTCGGCATTCTGGCCCTTCCTCCTCTTGCTTCCACTGCTGGAATGAAGCCCCTGAGTACTTGCTTAGCTGGAATTAAACTCAGCCCTCTAATCGAAAGAGGGGCTATTTTCCTCTCCCCACCCCACCACCCCTCTGCAAGAATGAGTTTGGGAAATAAAAAGACAAAAGGCTTCCAATCTGGCTGGTCAAAGGGAGAGGTGCTTTGTAAGGGCCAAACTTCTCAGACAACCCAAAGCTCTGATAAATATGCAAAACAGGGGTGGATAAAAGGGTGTGATTTGGAGGGCTGGAGCAACTGGGGGGGGGGGGAGGTGGCACACTCTCCTTGCCCCCTCCCATGTCATCCCCTCACACAGGTCCACCGCTGGGACTGGCCCAATGGCGACTGTGCTTGCCACAGTGGGAAGAAAAGGGGTGGGTAAGTAAACAGAAGGGAGAGAAAGCTTAGGTTCCCAGAGAGAGTGGTGTGGAGGAAGATGGTGAGACCTACAGACAGAAGCCCTGCTGGTGGGGGACGCTCTACCCCCAGAGGGAGGCATATGCCACACTTACAGGATTCCACGGGGGCACCATGGAAAGGAGGACAACTAAAATGAGTCTTGGGTTAATCCAAAAGGGCCCTACTCTGCAGCATGGAAATGGGTGGTGCAGCAAAGGTCATCTAGCCCACCCCACTGCCAATGCAGTGAAATGGCCCCCGCGGGCTGTGCCAGCATGCCTGCACAGTGGCCAACTAGTCTCTGCTTGAAAACCTTGGTGAAAGAAGACTCCACTGGCATTTGAGGCAGTCTGCTCCTCGAGTGAACAGC